CCCGTGGCTTCCAGTGACCCACTAGATGAAGCCGGGACTCCTTGGCTGGGCTCTCAGACCCACTGCCCTTCTCCTCTCGCCAGCCTCTTCCTTCGACCTCTCTCTGCCCTCCCTCGCCCTACCCCGTCCCTGGTGGTTTTCTCAGAATGCTTCCAGGTTCTCATGTGTGTGCTCCTTCTTCGTGTATTCATCACCAGGCACTTACTGAGCACCTGCTGTGTTCTAGGGAGTGAGGATACGCTGCAAATAAGATACTGTCCCAGGCTCGTGGAGCTGAGTCTGGAAGGTTGCAAACACAGTGGGATTCGTGCTGTAGAGGTTGGGAGTTGGGACGGGCCGAGTCCGCTGGATGGTTGATGAGGGTAGCATTGCGGGGACGGGCCAGAGGGGATGCATTCAAACCAAATCCTGAGAGACGGCAGGCAGATGGGGACATCCCCAGCAGAGGAGTCAGCTCGTGGAAAGTCACACGGCCTCATCGCTTCTTCTGGGAACTACCGGCTCTTTAGATCAGTGCTCAGGGGGTACGGGAGAGGTTGTTGGTGGACAGGCATGCCGGACGTGGATGGCACACTGTATGCTAGGACAAGAAGAGCCTTCGAAGGGCATTCGGCAGATCAATAACACTGTGGAGAGATAGATTGGGGGGGGGGGGCGTGTTAAGAGAGCCTCACATTTCCCTGTCTTCTGTAAATGCCACTCTCTCTTTGTTAGAAAGCAGCCCCTCCCCCATCCTTTGACTGTTAAGGACTGAACCATCCCTCATTCTAGGGAAGTCTTCCCTCCCTCCCTCCTCGCCTCCCCGCCCCATCTTTAAGGGGTAAACAAATGCCCCTTCATCCATCCTTTCCTCATAGCACTTATCATAAACCTCAATCCTAGGCCTTTTTTGGTGCTCTGACTCTGGTTGCAGGAGGTCAGCCTCTCCATGAGCCCCTTGAAGACAGGGGCCTCTGCCTTAGTCATGGCCACTTCCCTGTCCAGCCTGGGGTCTGTGAAGGCCTTGCCCCAGGCCATGCTAACCAGTGCTCTCCCACGGATTTGCTGATTACCCGCAAACCCCAGAGGACTCCCCTGACCTCTCTGGGCCTCAGGGGCGTCTTTCGGAGAAAACCCTTTGCTTCTGCATCTGGAGGTCTGGAATAGATCACAGTTGGAGCGAGGCCAGAGATTGCAACAATAATAAAGAGCTCAGCCTGCTATGTTCTAAGACCTTTCACTCATTTTCCCCTCATAATAATCTCTGGAGGTATAGGTATTGTTAGTTTAACTCATCTAACAGATGTGGAAACTAAGGTACAGGGAGGTTAATTCCCCCCGAGGCTACATGGCTGGTATCAGCAAGGCCAGGATTTGAACGTAGGTAGTACTGGCTACAGAGCCTTTGTTCTTAACTCCTGTGCCCTCTTCCAATCTATTTACTCCTGACGCTTGCTGACGCATGGGGGGGGGGGGGCGCCTGAGTGGCTCAGTCCGTTAAGCATCAGATTTCAGCTCAGGTCATGATCTCACAGTTCGTGAGTTTGAGCCCCACATCAGGCTCTGTGCTGTCAGCAAGGAGGCTGCTTCCGATTCTCTGTCCTCCCTCTCTCTCTGCCCCTTCCCCACTCATGCTCTCTAAATAAATAATAAACAAACTTAAAAAAAAAAAAAACATAGGCAAACTTGAAAAAAAACCATAGGCAATGGACTTCAGCAGACACTATCTCCACGGCACACTCACCACACCCACTGCACAGCCCAAGCCTCAGCCCCGGTACTGAATGCTCCTGCGGCTTCCTGCTAGCCTGCCCCTGTGGGGCTGGAGGTTCCTGGGAGCTCATGCAAGGAGCCCTATAGAAACTTCCCATCTTGAGAGTCCTAGCCTGAGTCCTGGGCTTGGGGAACCCACCTCCAGCACCCTGCATCAGCTGTAGCTGTGCTGTCTGCCTTGGGTATTAAGCCACGACCGAGTGAATCGTCTTGGGGCCCTTCCGTTCAAGGAGGAAGCCCAGGAGCCAGGCTTCCATGGGTACTGGGTCTAGCATCTGGCCAGATGTTTGCTGAAGCGGGGGGACTTCTTCCCCTGCCCTTTCCCCTGTGCTGGAGGGAAAGGGGCCTCGGGAACCTTAGCAGTGAGCTGAGGTGGAGAAGGTAGGAGGGACGTTTGGTCAGGATGATGGAGCCAAGTAGATCCAGAAGCTAGAGCTGTCCACTCCCTGCTGGGCGTCAGCAGGTGGAATATGGGTTTTCTGGAGAAATAAGACTAAGAAGACTGGAGAATTCAGGGTCTACAGAGGTTCTAGGAAGGTCAAGCAGGCGGGTTAGGAGGGTGGCCCTGCCTCACATCATCACCCTCATATCCGTATCAGACGCTGCTTTTTGGGAGTCACGCTGAACTGTGAGTAGGAATTGCCATACTCCCAGGGCAGGTCTACACAGGACCTCCAGGCATGGCTGGTTGAGGGAACAGAGTTCTAATCCTGGCTCTGCCCTTGCCAGCTGTGTGGCCCGAGGGCGGACCACACTACCTCTCTGGGCCCGAGCTTCGGTTTCTTGAGCTGGGGCATCAAGGACGCCTGGGAAGCAGTGGTGCATTGCGGCTGAGAGAGCACTGGCTTTGGAGTCAGACCGCCTGGGGCTAAAACTCTGGCTACATTTCCTCCTGGCCCCATGGCCTTGAGCAAGTAACCCCTTCCAAACTCAGTAATAACCATCCTCCCTACCTTCTGTTGTTGGAAAGATTGTAAACAGGACAATACATCCTTTTCGACTCATAAAAACAGTGACTTGTCCCTTCTGGTTATAAACTTCAATAAATCTTTGCCCTACATGAGTAAATCTCTCACAGTGAGAAATCCTCGTTCCCTCTCTTCACCCCCAGTCAGATTCCCCATTTACTGGCATTTGCTATTGTCACCACCATTGTCGTTTAATATAGAGGCAGGGAAAAAACCTCAAAGCAGGTGTTTGTTTCTTTACGCTCCTGCCTGGTCTAAGAGTGCAAATGCTTTCTCTTGAAGGTGGGCAGGTGTTATCCCCAAGCAAAGAGGCAACTCTGTAGCTGTCTGATGGCAGGCACGTGGCTGTGGTATTGGAGAAGATGCTGTGAATATTCCAGATAAGGTTCTTTTAAAGTCATTGCTGAAAATAATGTTGGATCCCGCCTCGGGGTCCAGCCAGAGACTTCCAGCTGCCTGGAGCCCTAGTAGGAGGAAGTCCAGTATCAGGTCTCACCTGGCAGAAAGTGAGCCCCCAGTGGAAAATACACTAGCGTACCAGCCTCCAGTCTCCTCTCGGCCAAGCTGAGCCAATGGAAGATCAGATGGCCCAGCCTGGCAGGGCAAAGAGATTCCAGCCTCAGGGCCCAAGAACAGATTTCCTGTCAAGAGGAAGCTGGGTTAACCTGAGCTCTGACTCACCTTCCTTGAAATCTGCCATCATAAAGAGCCTTGTGGAAGCTTTCTCACCAGCTGGGCCTCAGTCTCCCCTTCTGCAATACAGATGGAAAACCTCCCCATAGATGCCCACACCTCCTCATGCTGGAGATCATTTGCAGGAAAAGGAAGTAAGAGACACATCCCTATAGTCAAAGGACCTCACGAGTGCACGGGGATTATGGGATAGCAGCACGCCGGGGCTCCGGCCACCTGTAATATTTGCTGATCACCGTGAGGATCAGCACTAACTCAATTTTCACACAAGCCGACCAGGTAAACACCCTTTTATCCCCATCCTCCCAATGAGGCTTCTAGAAGCTGGAAGATACGCCTGGGTACTGGCTAATACAGGGCAGAGGTGGAGTGCAACCTCCCCTCACAGCCTGTACAGGAGCCCAAGGGAGGGACCCTGGGTGTCTGTTTCAGAGCACTTACACTCTAGCAGGCGTACCGAACGCCCCAAGTCATTGCAGGCTCTCTCAGTGGGCGAGGCCAGGACGCGAACATTGAACCTGAATAACAACACAGGCCTGTCTGTGTTCAATGCCAGTGCAGGGTCATTGGGGTTCTGGAGGGGAATAGTCCTTGCGACCAGGGTACCTCCCTGGCGGGGGTGAGGGTCTTGACAGATCCAGACCACTTCTGAGTGGGACCTGCTCATTTCTCCCTGGGAGCCGTTAGCCCAGGCACAGTTGAGTGAGAGCAAGGCGGCCCCTTGGGTGCAGCTGGGTCAGAGCATAGGGTTCTAGCAGCCAGACTGGGAGGGGGACCCCTCTCCCTCCTCCCTCTCCTCCCCTCCAGCCTACCCCATTCATGCAGTGAGTAACAGGAAGGAGCCATTGGCCTGCGGGTAATGCCATTAGTAACCCTGTGGGGAAAGGGGAAGTGGCCAGGGGAAGGGGGAGGTGAACCACCCCGGCTCCCCCCAGGCCAGAGGCTGGCAATGGCCACAGCCAGCTTGTGCTGTGTCTGCCCTTAACCCCGCCCTGTGCCCACTGCCTCAGTCTGAGATGGGGATGGCCAGGAACCTGGCTGATTAAAAGCACTGGGGGGCATTTTGAAAAGCCTCAATTTCTAGGCACCCCTCCCCCAACCTGCTGACCAAGAATGTGAGAGAAACTCTGGAATCTGTACTTGTTTAGATTCCAGTTCAGCCCCTGCCCTGTTATGGCCTGGTTGGGTAGTTCTAGGGGCCGTGACCCACCCTGATCAGGGTGCCACGGGTGCCACCGAGAGGCAGCATCAGTCTTGAAGGAACCAGGCACCAAAAGCAGGGTGCTGGCTCTTTCAAGGTGAAGTTCTGTACTTTTAAACAGTTCTGTGTTGAAAGGCTTTCTCATGGTTTGCTCTGTGAATTTTCCAGGAGGCTTTGGAACATCTGGGGTGTGTTCTCTCAAATCACGGGTTTAAATGGGAAAGATAAAAATTCCTAGACCAGCAGGAGGGAAGTGTCCATCGCAGGGCAGTGTCCAGGCACGTGTCCTGTCCAAGGCCTGGGCTGATTGCTGGGTGGGCTGCTGGGGGGGCGGGGGGTTCCCACCCACTCCAGCTGGTCCCCATGCTTCTGCCCTTCCCTGCCAGGACGTGAAGATCTTCCGAGCCCTGATCCTGGGGGAGCTGGAGAAGGGACAGAGTCAGTTCCAGGCACTCTGCTTTGTCACCCGGCTGCAGCACAATGAGATCATCCCCAGTGAGGCCATGGCCAAGCTTCGACAGGTGAGTGTGCCCCCGTCCAGCTCCCACCCCAGAGCCCCTAGCCCTACAGCCAGCCCAGCCCGAGGCCTGGACCGCACCCCAATGTCGCTCTCCCACCCAGCCCCTGACCCACCCTCACCCTCATCCCTGGCACCCCACCCTCCCCCTGTAGTCCTGAACCCCCCAATATTGCCCCACGCTGGACCTAACCCCATCACCCCAGATCGCTAATCTGCACTGACCCCCACCTGCCAGGTGCCTCCAGTCCCCTGATTTCAGCTCCTCTCCCTTTATGGTGGAGGTTCTGGGCTTGGACCCTGTGGTCAGATGTGCAGTCAGACCCAGCACCACACCTCGGTATCCCCGTGACATTGCACACCTTGCCTTCAAAGGCTCTACTTTCCTATGGAGAAATGAGTTATACTGAGAATTAAATGAGAGCATGGGTGTAAAGTGTTGTGCGCCATGTTCAGAATTCTTCAGCCTGTTGACCTGTTCCCTGTCCCTTCCTGGACCCTGGGCCTCTCCCCCAGCCTCATCTGAATTCCCTAAACTAGACCCCCCCCCCCTTCTCCCCGGTCCCAGACTCTCCTCTGCCTGTTGGAAGGTGTGGGACCCCAGAGGTCACCAGTCCTGGGCCAGCTCGCCTGGCTATCCACTTCCTGCACCAGCCCTGGTGACTGCCCCTTGATGCCAGCCTGCCCTCAGGTTCTAAAGGCAGCCAGCCCCTCAGTGATTAGGCAAAGCAGGGCAGGGAGCGTTAGGAGGCCAGGTGGGAGCGGCTCTTCCTGTCCACACAGAAGAACCCACGGGCAGTGCGGCAGGCTGAGGAGGTGCGGGGCCTGGAGCACCTGCACATGGACGTCGCCGTCAACTTCAGCCACGGGGGCCTGCTGAGCCCCCACCTCCGCAACGTGTGTGCAGAGGCCGTAGATACCATCTACACCCGCCAGGAGGACGCCCAGTTCTGGCTGGAGCAAGGTGAGCGTGGGGTCACACCACCCAGGCCGGAGTGCGGTGCGGACGCAGGAGTCCCGAGGAGGGACCCCTCACCCGGGCTGGGATTGGTCAGGGCGGCTTCCTGGAGGAAGTGGTGCCTGGGTGGCTCTTCAGGGAGAGGAGTCAGCCAGATGAAAGCGACCCTGTCCAGGTAGGGACACACAGACCTGTGACTTCCCAGGTTGTGTGGAGGGAGATAACCCGGGCAGCGGCCACCTCATGCCTTCCATTAGTGAGACCACAGGACCTCTGTCGGGGGAGGGGGACAGGCATCAGGGTCGGCACCCACTGCCCCCCCTCCTTTCTTTCATGCCTTCCCTGGTACCTGCATCTCTCGCGTCTCTGGTGTGGCCCCTGCCTTTTGGCCTGTGTGGCTTTACCGCTGCCCCATTTCCTGATTCCGTTCCCAGGACTGTCCTCAGGTCCTCTGTGTAGAGGGGACAGGGAGGTGCCCACAGTTACCACTCCAGGCCCCTGGTCCTCCGCCCAGCGGGCCAAGCAGTGCCTGCCCTTCCCAGGGCACCGCTGGATTTAGAAGTGGCCATCAGGGGGCGCTGGGTGGCTCAGTTGGTTGAGCTCTTGATGTCAGCTCAGGTCATGATTTCACAGTTCATGAGTTCAAGCCCCATGTCAGGCTCCGTGCTGACATCGCAAAGCCTGCTTGAGACTCTCTCTCTCTCTCTCTGCCCCTCCCCCACTCACATTCGCTCTCTTGTGCTCTCTCTCACTCAAAATAAACATTAAAAAAAAAAAAAAGAAACGGCCAACAGAACTGTGCTCATGCCCTCCACACACACCCCTCCCAGTAAGCTGCACCCCAAACTGAGGTTCAAGCTCAATACTGTGCCCCCGAGAGGCTGGTCCATCCCGGGGCCACTGAGCCGAGCCAGGGGCCAGGTCACTGCTGCCTCCCCCAGCACCCTGTGTGTACCCTGGCCACCCTGACTTCCCAGCATGTTTGTGCTGGTCCTTCCCTACCTGGCCCTCCTCAGATACCACGTCCTTTAAGTAGCTATCCTTGATTTTCTATTTATTCTCCCCACATTTCTATTCTGTCACATCCTAGTATAGTGGTGTGTGTGTGTGTGTGTGTGTGTGTGTATGTGTGTTTTACCATGTATTTGTTTTTGAGAGAGACAGAGAATGAGCAGGGGAGGGGCAGAGAGAGAGGGAGACACAGAATCTGAATCTGAGCTGTCAGCACAGAGCCCAATGCAGGGCTAGAACCCGCGAACCGTGAGATCATGACCTGAGCCAAAGTCGGATGCTCAATGCCTGAGCCTCCCAGGTGCCCCTATAGTGGTATTTTTTAAGCACAGGGTGGCAGCATGCCAAGGGGAGGCCTTGAGGTCAGACAGACCCAGGCTCCGTCCCCACTCCACTCTTCCTGTGTGACCTCTGTGAGATCATTAAACCTCTCTGGGCCAGGTTTCTTACCTATAAAAACAAGAATGAAAATACTTGGCTCATTGGCTGGCGGGATGCCCCAAGAGGCCATGCGGGGTGGACCCCTCCCTCCTTCCCTTCCCCCCTCCCCCCTGCTAACCCTTGTCTCTCTCCCGCAGGTGTGGACAGCTCTGTGTTTGAGGCTCTGCCTCAGGCATCAGAGCAGGTGCGCCTGCCCCGCTGCGGGCAGGTGGGGGATGGCGGGAAGCCGTGTGTCTGCCACTATGGCCTGAGCCTGGCCTGGTACCCCTGTGTGCTCAAGTACTGCCACAGCCGTGACCGGCCAGCCCCCTACAAGTGCGGCATCCGCAGCTGCCAGAAGAACTACAGTTTCGACTTCTATGTGCCCCAGCGGCAGCTCTGTCTCTGGGACGAGGACCCCTAGCAGGGCTGAGGCCAAGGGGGCGGTCTCTGGGGTCGCTGCCCTGGGTCTGCTGCCCTTCCCCCCCCCCCCCCCCAGGCCTTATTCCCCTTCCCTTCCCGTGATCCCGGAGCCTCTGGCCCTATTGCTCAAGACTGTGAAAAGGGGTGTGGCATGGCAGGGGTTAACTCGTGAAGGCAGCCCCCACCCCCACCCTGTGCCTCCCTTGGGGACCGAGAGAAGGGGGTTCTCCAGATGTGGAGAACCTTGATCTCCCCTCCCCGGAATCTCCCCTGAAGTGTTCTCTTTCAAGCAAACAAAATGTGATGGCCCGTGATTCTATTTAACTCTTTGAAGGCTTAGACCCTAAAAGGTGTCTATGCCTGTCACACTGAACTCCCCACCCTCAACACACCCCCACTCCCCCATCTGGAAGGGGCTAGCCCCTCTGTACCCTCAAATGCCCAACAAGGAGGGGACCACGCCCCAGAGACGGGGCTCTTGGGGACCATTGCCATAGCCCCTCCACCAGATCACAGTGCGTTCTGCTCACTGCTGGCCTCCCGCCCCCGGGGCAGGTGAGGACCTCCCAGCCCGGACACAAACCACACGTGCCTTTTTCCCCAGCCCCTCCTCAAAATAAATATTTTTGTAAGGTTCTGGGGCGGGGAGGGGGCATGAAGTATGAGGAAAACTTGAATTCCAGATTTTTAATGCAAAGTATTTATCATTTGTACCAGAAATAAAAGTTTAAATTTTTATTTGACCCTTCTAGTCGCAGAGTTCTGAAAGAACTCTTGGCCAATGCTGCCACCTGGTGGCAGGAGGGGTGTTCGCCCTGCCGGTGACAGGTCCCCGCACACCTACCTGCTAAAGCCCTGGCTGATTGTGCCGCAGGGAGAGAATGGACCAGGGACGTATTAGGGAAGGATAAGACAACGCTTCTGCACTTAAGAAGAAGACACATCGATGAGCAAGTCAGAAAGTGACAGCATAAATACATTAAGGCAAGAAATAAGGCCAACATTCTGGAACCAAACTTACAGGGTTCAAATCCTGGCCTGGCTTATTTCCTGTGCAATCTTGAGCCAAGTCACTTTACCTCTTTGTGCCTCAGCGCTCTCTGCTATAAAATGGGCTTAACTGTGAGACTTACATGGGCTCATACATCTGAAGTGCCCAGGACATGGTGTTCATTCGCTATTATTAATTTCATTAATTAATAATATTCGCTATTATTAATATCGTTCTGTTAGTGCAAAGAGCAGGCATTTCCTCACCTGTAAACCTGAGACCACTAAACCAGACATCCCAAAGGCCGTTTCACTTCAAACGTAACTTCCAGTTTGAAGAGACTGTAATAGGAAGTGCCGAGCCGGGTGCTGGAGAACTTTCAGGAAGGAGGGATGGTGCAGGCTCAAGTTACCAAGATGGGGAAGTCTCCTGGACCAGATGGGACACAGCTTGCTGCTGAAGGATGGTAGGCATTTGGCAAGGTGGAGGGGACTGGCACAGGGCAGAGACAGGAAGCTTCAGGGGTCCTACAGGGGGCTTGAATCCTTAGGAAGGAGGAGAGTCAGGTACTTCCTCATCCGCCTTAGAAAGGGAGACAGGCTTTCAGGATGAGCCCCCCCCTTGAAGACTCCCCAGAAAGGCTGCCACCACCCTTTGAAGCTGTATAGGCCCGAGGGTTGTGGTGGGAGCCAGGCTGGCCTGACCAGGGTCAAGTTAGGGCTGGGTGGAGAGACTGCCTTTTCAGGCAAGCATGCCTCTTTCTGAACCTGTTTTCAAGGACCAGCTTTGTTGTGCTGGGCGGGGTGGGCGGGGGTGGAGGGGTGTTCCTCCCCAGGCCCTTTCCTCCTTCCCCTGCTGCCCAATCCCAGCCCTCAGTCCTGAGCCCCAATCCCTGCTCCGGGTGGGGGAGGGGATTACCTGGAGAAGACACCCCCCCACTTCCCTCCCTGTCTGTGTGCCTTTTTTCCTGGGAGTAGGGGCCCCAGGTCAAATGCCTTTTCACTTGCAAGTAGCCAAAAATAATGCTGCTTTTTTAAAGAGTGCTTCTTTTAATTTAAAAAATATTGTTTATTTATTTATTTATTTATTTTGAGAGGTAGAGCGTGAGCAGGGAAGGGGCAGAGAGAGAGGGAGACACAGAATCCGAAGCAGGCTCCAGGCTCTGAGCTGTCAGCACAGAGCCCGACGCAGGGCTTGAACCCACGAACCGTGAGATCATGACCTGAGCCGAAGTCGGAGGCTTAACCAACTGAGCCACCCAGGCGCCCCTAAAGAGGGCTTTTCCGATCTTCCTTGGGAGTGACTCGCACCTCCAAGCCTGCCCGTCCCAAGCAGTGAGGGGGATTTGTACACTCATTCCAGACCACTCTGCCTGGGGCCTCTTCTTTGGTTTTAGGGCCTTGGGACGAGAAGATTCTCTGAGACTTTGGGCTGAGCCTATACTCAGGCCAAGTCCACGCTTCCCCCTCATTCCAACGATCTCCCACCCTCCCAACCCAGCTCTGTCAGGTGCCTCCAATGCCGGCCACTGCAGTCGCCTCTCTGGCCAGGGTCTCTGGTTTCTGTGGGCATCAGAATCACTTGGGGGCTCAGCTCATTACCAGGGTCAGCTGTTTGAGAAAGGCCCAGATATGGCTTGACTTTCCTCAGGAGGCTTTTGTGCACGTGTACAAACACTTGGTGGGGGTGGCTGGGAGGAGGTAACACACCTCCAGTGAGCGCTCATTTCTCCGACACGTAGAGTTTACAACGTGGCTTCATGTGAAGCAGCTCATTGGCTCCTTGAAGCAATTCTGTGACATTTTGTGGAAGTGGCTCAAAAATAAAACTATGTGACTCGCCCAAGGCCAGACAGCTAGTTGGGCTGCAGCCCTCAGCCTCCTTGCTCCATGCATAGCTGCTAACCCGGATGGGTTTATCAGATTGGCCAGCTGGAACCACGGGGTAGGGACGACGGAAGGGGCACAGCGGGGACAGGAGGGGCACCAGGTAGGCAGCAGCCCCAGGGGCCAGTCCTGCGGCAGCAATCACTGAATACGTGGCGGCGGGGGGGGTGCCCGGGTTCCCGATGGGTCCCTTATGCCAAGGTAAGCAAGGTCCTGGGTGGGAGGGCAGGAGCCTAGGCCTGGCTGGAGCCTCTACAAGCCAGACCCAACCTGGACTGGGCTTTGCTGGACTTCCTGTGGCTTTTCTTCAGACTCCTCTCCCTGCAATCTTAGCCAAGGAAAGTCTTGTCTTCACCGAACCTTAGACGTGGTGGGTGGAGCCACCAAGAAGTCGGGCAAAAAGTGGGACAAGGACCACTCGCAAGAAGCAAAGCTTGATGGGGCACCTGGGTGGCTCAGTCGGTTAAGCGTCCGACTTCGGCTCAGGTCATGATCTCATAGTCCATGGGTTCAAACCCCGCGTCGGGCTCTGTGCTGACAGCTCAGAGCCTGGAGCCTACTTCAGATTCAGTCTCTCTCTGTCTCTCTCTCTGCCTCTCCCCCCCCATACTCTGTCTCTATCTCTCAAAATAAAATAAAGACATAAAAAATTTTAAAAAAAGAAGAAGAAGAAGAAGAAGAAGAAGAAGCGAAGCTTGAGGGTAACAACGCCTACCTGGGAGGAATTGGGTCCCGGCCTAGTCCCAGCTCTGTGCTTGCTTTCTGGGACGGGTCACCCCCACTGCAAGCCCCGGATTCCTCATCTTCTAAGAGGTGGCCCTCCCTTAGGGCCTCCTGACCCAGCACTCAGTGTGTAACTGCTGGCTGGCATTCTATCTCGGGTCATTAGGCATTTGGCGACAATCGAACTGCAAATCCGTGATTTGCTCTTACAAGCGGTACTGTGGGGAAATTGGTAAAGATGGAGCACCGCACAGCCCAGTATTTGGTAGAGACTGCCAGACGGCCCTCCTTGATGGAGCTGTCCCAGTCCGCATCCTCACCAGCAAGTGTATGAAAGGCTCTTTTCCCCACATTCCTGCTGCATCAGGCGGCGTTATCCAGAGAAAGAGCCAATAGGATTCAGAGAAAGAAAGAGAGACAGAGAGAGATTTCTCGTAAGGACTTAGCTCATGTGATTATGGGGTCTGGCAAAATCCAAAATGCTGGCACTGGGCAGCGTAGGCAAAAGTTGATGTTGCAGCCTCGAGTCCGGAATCTGTAGGGCAGGTCAACTGTCCAGAAATTCAGACGGGATTTCTGTTAGTCTCGAAGCAGAATTTCATCTTTGGGAAACCTCAACTTTTTGTTCTTAAGGCCTTCAACTGATTAGATGAGACCCACCCACATTATCAAGGGTAATCTCTCTAAAGCCAAATGATTGTGGATGTGAATCACATCTACAAAAATACCATCACAGCAGCATCTAGAGTAGTGTTAGACCAAGCAGCGAGGCACCGGAATACCTAGCCGACCTAACACAGCAAATTAACCATCGCACCTGCTATCACTGGATATCACCATATGGTGTTTGCCACTTTGACCTTGAGAAACATTAAAGCATTCTAGGGTGTACTCTCAGATATCGACTAGTACTGTAGCCAGGTAACGGCTGGTTGTTCCTGTTTCCCTCCCTCCCCCCCCCCCCCCCATCTCTTCTCTACCTGTCTCTGCCCCACTCTGTGCCTCAGGATACCAACCTGTGGATCTGCCTCATTTGGGTTTCTTCTCTCCTGGGTCCGCCAGTAACGAGCACTAGAGATCAGAGGGCAGGATGAGAGAGGATTCCAGGCATATATCCCTGCCCCTTGCTCCTTCCAGACCACACCTCTGCACTGGCTTCCTTCCTCCAAGCACCAGACCTCCTTGGGCTCCCAGACCACTATTTCCTCTTCCTGCTGCACCGGCCCCAGCTTCTCAGTGTCACTGGCCGTCTGGCTCCCTTACTTCTGCTCGCACCTCTGTAAATAAGCCATACCTTCCTTAAAGGCACTCCGTATTGAGTCGATTCTGTTTTCCTGCCCCTACTGGGGCCCCAGAGGAATGGACAGTGGGAAGGAAGAAAGCAAAAGTGAGCCGGAAAACACTGGCTCACACCGCAGGGACTCCGTGCATACCTTCTCCTTGGAGAAGATCCCAACCTCACAGAGGGGCTTCAGGTCCAGCAAGGGAAAGAAGGTGGGTCACAAGCTGCCTCAGGACCGGCTTTCAGGTGTGGTACCCACATCCCCTGTGGTGACCATGACCTTCTCCCCGCCTGGGCCCAGGCTCCAGCTGTGTGTCCTGCTGAGGCACCGTCCTGAGTCTTCAAGAGTGAGAGGCAGGATGAAGTGGTTCTACGCTCATGGGACCCCCTCTCCTACACCCGGGGAAGCAGAAACGGATGCCACATGCTTACCGGGCCCACACGCCCACAGGCGCCTCCAGATCCCCTCCTGCCCTGATGGTGGGGGAGGTGCCCCCCTCCCAACCGACCCCAGGGCTCTGGATCCCAGCCCTTCCCCCTTCTCTCTGGAGAAACTCTCCTCTCACTCTCTTCTGCTTCTCTCTCCTGTCTTCTTCCCATCAGCCCTGAGAGTACTTTCTAAAAATTTGTTTAAATGTTAATTTTTGAGAGTGAGCACGCATGAGCAGGGGAGGGGCGGGGGAGGGACGACAGAGGATCCGAGGTGGACCCTGATGTGGGACTCAAACCCAGCGAGCCACAAGATCACGACCCGAGCAGATGTCCAACGCTCAACCCAACTGAGCCACCCAGACGCCCTCTCACTCACCTTTGTCTACCTCTTGTGCTCTGCGCTCTGGCCAGCCTGTACTGCTAGAGGGA